TTCGTATATCTCCACTTTTCTGCCACCAACTACAACAAACGAAGGTATGTACAGTGCTATTTTATTAAACAAAGTTTACATGTTTGTTGCTGTAATGATAGATACTACGTTTTCCTACATTTTCATCAAAGAAAATTACTGTATATTATAAATAAAATGACAAAAATTTCGGAGACTAGAACGGATTAATTGTACTTGCATTAATCTCTATGAGAAAAATTGCTTCGGTTAACGTACAATTCAGTTAACGAACGGAGTCGCGGAACGGATTAAGTTCGTTAACCGGGGTTCCACTGTACTATATTTCTTCAAATCACCAGAAAACACTAAAATTTTTTATTAGAGTAGCAAACAGAAGATTTCTAACAAAATGTTTTAAAAACCAAGTCCAACTTTATAAACTTAATAATAGTATTCCATTATTTAATAACTATTATAATTTTATTATAATTTAAAACAAAAATTATACGGAAACAAAGGGGAACCCAAATTATTAATCAGTTTCAGCCTAAATATACCTCAGCATTTTAAATCATCATCTATCAAGTCCTTTTCAAACATGGTACTTAATTTTGCCACTTTAATATCTTGTCTTCAATTTGATTTCTTCCTTACTATTTTGTTTTCACATATTTCTTTTACTGATTTTATATTCTCTCTATTTGAAACTACTGAATTATTTATAGTGCATCTATCATATAGTAATAAAAATCTTTAATTAAAACATTATGACAACTGTAGTCCTTCTTTTGTTGCATTGCCTTCAATCTCTGTTAGATCAAAAGCTATTTCTGGCCTCCAATATGAAATTTATAGCTCAAAAGATTATTTAAAATAGGCATTTAACAACGTGGTTTCTTTATCCCCTTACCACTGGCTAAAAATAAAGTTTATCATATAAAATTTAACAAGGGAAAAAAATTATACTGAGACTTTTGAGGCTAAGAAATAATCAGAAAATTTTTTAACATAATCAATCCAAATATACTTTGAGAAAAAAACTGAAAAGTTTAATTGATGACATCATCCATCCCCAGAATTCGAGAAATAATAATAATAATAAATTTAACACTATGAATTATTATTTACATAATATTAATAATGGTAATAATAATTAATAATAGTAATAGGTCAAGATTTTTAATTTTTATTTCAAGAAAGTTAAAACATTTCTGGAAGTATCCTTCATTCATTTAATGATGTCATCAACTTTCTGTTGCTTAATCACTGACCTTTCTTGAAGAAGCTATATTTGAGAGCTTAATTACAAATAAAATTTTTCCCAACAAACTTATGTTGACAGAAGTAGGAATATTAACAAATATAAATAACACAGTTGAATTATCCTTTAACTTATTTTGGATATCATTTTGTTAGAAAATATATCTATCAATTTGATATTAAATGACAGTAAAACATTTAAACATTTATTATACATATTCTTGATCTGGAATTGTTTATTCCCCAGAATTAACTCAAGATCAATCATAATTTTTGCCAATCTGTGGACAAAATGTATTTTAAAAATGGCCTATAAGCTAGATCTTGTTTACAGAAAGCTTTCGTGAGGCCCTCTTACAATCTTGATAGCATTAAAAATTTCTATGAATGCAAGAGTCAAAATCTCATAGCAAAATGCATATAAAATAAATAATAAACCTCGTTTATATACAAAGGTTGGAAATTGGGTAATGTGTAAATTGGAGAGCAGTATAAAATATGATGTGTCAAATTAAGTTTTTGTCGTAATTTTTTTTTACATGTATCCTTACAATAAAAATATTATTTGGTGTTTGTAAGATCAATGAATTTGCTAAATTAGCCTACAGCAGAATGTCATACTTAAGTTTTAATCTTATAATATAATCGAGATGGGTTGATAATGATAATAATAATAAGTGCAGAGCCCAAACAGTTAGGAGTTGAAAGTTGAAATTTGGTACACAGTACGAAATTTCAACTTTCAACTCCTAACGGGGTATGTCATGAGAACATACACTAAGAACGGATTTTTTGAAATTGTAAGGATTAAGTCTTACTGTGAAGAATGCGGCTTCTATTATATTATTTTAGATGCATTTTTACTATTTTAGATGCTTTATACAACCTAATTTCTATGTTGAAAATGTGTTCAAATTCAACTTCCAAAATAGAAATTCATTTTTATGTTTGTCAGAGATTATTATTTAGCACATTGTGCTTAGTCAAAAAATAAATAAATATGCAATGTAATCCAATTTTTTAAAAAATAAAGATGTTTCTAATTGTGATGCTGTGAGATAATCTACCAAACAAAAGTTTGGATTAAAGAGCCATTCATATACAAGATCCAATATACAGCAATCATAAAACAGAAAAATCATGAATAAATAAATAAATAATTTAAACACTGCAATGTCATGTTTCTTTTTAAAGTTTATTAAATGTTCAAACTGTTTACATTATATGGAACAAAAACAAATTTTCTATACATTATAAACAAAGAGAAATTATAACTTAGCACAGTTCAATTGTTTACACAAATGTTTTTTTCTTTTTGATCTAAGAATAGAATTCAAATTGTGAATAAATTTGAAAATTTAAAAACACAGTTTGGATTAAGTGTTTCTTTTGTACATGCAGTGGAATCTTGTAATAATGAACTTTTCAGAATAGCAAACTTTTTTAGGTTTTCCAATCTATCTCTACAGAAATTGTGAAAATCTTCAATTGTACAAATGCAGAAAAAATTTAGAATGTTAAACTGAATGGTTATCACAGCCCCCATAGTAATAAAATATTG